GTTCTGTGCTATAATAGAGATGGTGTTAAGCGCAAAATATATGATCTACTATGTTATTAACATAATAATTAACTTTATTATATTTATTTATTTATTTTTGATTACAGCTTGATTCCACACTGTATTTTTGGTACAAGTATGGAATTTTCAGCATATGATATCGGTAGCTCAAATTTTGCAGGCCGACCATAGATATCAGGTGTGCGTCGGCAGGGGATCGAACCCCAGACCATGTGTATGGTCAGCGAGAGTCCTAACCACTGTACCACCTCCTACTATTAACATCATCATTATTTTACACTTTTTGTACATTTTTGTTTCAACTTTATTGTCACTGCGATTACCAAAAAAGCTGCCTATTATGAATCCTGTAAAATTATTTTTTCTATTTTTGATTTTTTTCTGTTGTCGTTGTTGTGTAAATCAGATACATAATAATATCGTACGAAATGCTCAGAGTCCCACATATTTTGTATCATAAGCAGTACTGTTTTGGAATATAACAAAATTAGTATTATTATTATTATCATTACTATTAATAATGTCAAAAGTTAATTATTTGAATAATTCAGTTGACAAAACTATAACCAAATCTATTTCATTTTTTTTCAATATTTCAATTCAATTGAACATTGACAATGTTAGAAAAAAACGAAGCACATAACGACAAACAGAGAGAGAGAAACTAAATGAGTGAGTGCGTACGTGAATAAGAGAGACTATGATACCCATTCACTTCTCCATCAAAAAATTAAATAAACATCAAATGAAAACAGAATTTACGGGGAGTCTAGAGAAAATGACAACAATTGTTTACGTATTTGCGAATAAATTGAAGTATGCGCTGAAGATGTCACCCAGTAAGGTGATGAAAGCTTCGCAAACTAACCATCCAGCTCAGAGAACAAAACCACATCAAAATCATCCACCTGAGCTACAAATCTTCTCTATCATATCTAAAAAATGTCATAGAGATATGGGTGGTGTTTGTAGGAATCCGAGTAAAAACGTTGAACAATGACGATGTATCTATTCAAATTGTTTATAGTTTGATAGTTAGTTAGTCAGTTAGTTAGTTGATTCGATACAACCAAATCACAAATGACAAAGATGAAATTGTTAATAGGGAAGGACAGAGAAAGTAATATCCTCCCCTCGTCAAAGTTTGATGATTTATAAAACTGTTATATACCGACCGCAACATAATAACTGCAGAAACGACAGAAGGCAAAAACGAGGCAACCGATCCTTTATTCATAAAAATCAAGAGGTATCTATAAATCTTTATATACATTATTATTAGCGTTATTGTTGACAGAGAAGCAACGTCTTCTGATTGGTTGTTTTCTTGCTAAAGGTTATTCTGTATTGCATGCGACCGTTTCTTAGAAAGTTAAGCCATATATCTGCGAATCGTGTTTGCACAAGTTGGGTCAGCTGTGATTTGTTGGTGAGTTCCTCAAGGTTAAGCTTTGTTATTGCTTTTATTCTCGTGACACCGATTTGGCTTGCAGTTAGCTCTCACCACACTGTTACTTACTTCACTACGAAAACGACATACTTTCGATTAGTCACCCATGTCTCGACCTTGGTGTCGGTGTACACTGATTTCTACCAAATTCAAGTATGCAATATGGTCGTCAAATAAGCAAGTTGAATCGCCATCACATTGTACTCTGAAGTGTTGTCTTTAGATATTTGGAAGGAATTGGCAGGAAAGTCTGCTTAATCTAGGTTTCATACTTCTTGGCATTCGTTAACAAGACGAATCTGAAATCTTAAAAGTAGTTATATTCCCTCTGATTGATAGGATTCCGTTTTCTTCAAAAAACAAGTACTCATTATACTTCCTCAGAAGGTTAGTCATGAGCCTGTATAGCTCAGTGGTACATTTTGACGACTGACAAGTGATAACAAGCACAAAGCCCACGTCAAGGGATTCCTGCTGATGACTTTTAACTATCTAATATCAAATGATATACTACTAATAATCACTTGAATGTTGTTCTAACGGCGAAATTAAACTTTAAGCAGCACTCACTACCAATGGAGCGTGACCGCATCAATGACCTTGAAACGCTCACTGAGCAAATTAGTGAAATCCGGCGAATAATGTTTTCATCATCAATAAAATATGCTCATTGAAGTGTTATGTAACTAAATAAGATATCTGGCAAGTGTCAGCTTAGGTTTTTGGAAAGATTAAGTTACTTTTTAAGCCAAGGACAACTTAAGGTTAACCTAACAAAGGCGACAGTAGGTTTGATTCTGCTTAGATTACAATTAGTTTAGGGATATTTTCACGTCAAGGTTAGATTCAGGAAAGAATGGGGTTATTATTAGGGTTAGAAGACATAAATAATTACATGCATTAAATGTGGTTAAATTTCTCTGTTGATATTAGGATAGAATATCACATATGAGAAGAAAGTACCCTCTGTAACACTTTTATACAGTCTTTGTGCAATTTCTTTCATAAATATAAGTATTCCATACACAAAAATGCCTCCTTGATGTGACTGGTGCGTTCAAGGTCAATCACTGATTGGTAGTCATTGATGCTTAAAGTTTAACTTTGCTATTCTAACACTAAGGGTAACACAGAAGACCAAGTGATGACATGGTGAAGATTTAATATTCCATGGGAAATGGCCGTATGAACTAGAGAGATTACAATTGATTTTATGACTATTTTATATGGTTAATAAACCACTCACCTAAAGTATAAAAAGAACTTTATGATGACTGGAAAATACAGAATAATAGAAATTCAATGACGTTGCCTTCAATCGAAGATCATCACAGATATTTGCTTTTATTCTTCTGTGTGAAATGGTGTAATGCAGTGAGCAATATTAACTTTAGTCATAGGAGGTTGTGTAAGGAAAGGAAGTCAACTGACTGACATGGCTAGGAGGTGTGTCGCGCATTTCGAGCTACCACGTTCCTCAACAAACAATGCTAGCTGACACAGGATTAGGTTGATAATCGTTAGGTGGGTGATCAAACAAATATGCAGCATCAGTCCTTCAAGTCTTTAACAAATAGTTTGAGTCGGCCATGTAGAGAGGTGTAAACTGTCTGGTTGGAGATCTAGAGATGCTGTAGCCATGTCCTTTGCTAAATCAAAGTTACGTTTACCGAAAATTATGATGGGTCCTGAAAAACCCAGTTGCAATGGTGGAGTGGCTACAGCCAACTCTCATCCCTGAATTATATCCAGAACGACGTCAATCCTACAGATGATTTGGCAAATCCTTTCAGTAGGACTCCCACAAATTCCACTGAAAATTTCTGGAGTCTCTTAAAATAATAGCATCATGGCAGTGAATGTCTTAAGAAACACGATAATTTATGGCTAGTTCATTGAATTTATGTACAGAAATTGATTTGGCCTATAACAATAGGGACTCCAAAGAGAAATTGGCAGGTTTTTTTAGAGCAGAATAGACAAGCATTAATTACCCTATGAGACAATTTTTTTAAACATTCCATTACTTTTATGTGAAGGTTTTTTTCAAATTACGCACCTTCAAATTGAACTCATCTGATTGGTCGATAAAGACATGTCAAGGTTTTTTTAAGGTAGTTTCGCGTTTTTGATCGATATAGTTTAGCGCTACCCAATCCACGTCTATGAAATGAAGTTATTTCATCTGTATTTATGATGCATTTTATGTTTTACGAGTTGATCACGGATTGACATCAGTTAGAGAACCATTGAAAACCAGGGAGTACTGGACAGCTGCTGTTTCATCCTAGTTTGGGAATCATCGGCAGTACGCACCCACTGGGATTCGAACCCGGGACCTTCCGGTTACAGGGCAAGCTTGTATACAAGCTTGAAACCTGGCAAATAATGTTGTCATCATCAATAAAATATACTCATCGAAGTGTTACGCTGTTAAATGTTATATCTGGCAAGTTACAGCTTAGGTTTGGGAAAGATTAAGGTACGCTTTATGCCAAGGACTAGTTAGGGTGGGTTCGAGTTAGATATCCACTATAACGCTTTCTTACAGTTTTTATGCATTTTGTTCATAAATATATGTATTCCATACACAAAAAATGCCTCCTTTAACGTGATTGGTGCGTTCGAGGTCATTCGCTGATTGGTGGTAGTTAGTGGTGCTTAAAGTTCAACTTTGCCCTCTTCGTTGAATTTTTTGTTCTTATTTTCAATTTTACATCAGTTAGACTTAGTACAACTTGCTCAGTGGACAGAAATTAATCAATCAGAATAAAACAAAAGTGAAACCGAGAGATTTTGCTGACTAATTTTTTTAATTTTTTTTTTGATTACAGCTTGATTTTACACTGTATTTCTGGTACAAGTATGGAATTTTCAGTATGGATATCAGTAGCCCAAATTTTGCAGGCCAACCATAGATATCAGGTGTGCGTCGGGAGGGATCGATATCAGTTACTCAATGTTCTCAACATGTTTGTGAAAGTCGACAAAAAGGGCATTCATAGGTCAATGAATTTCATTTCATGCGGTCGAATGGCCAGCAAGATCCAGAGTTCAACCCCTAGTGGGATTAGGTGTGCGCCGCACTCCTGAAGACTCCTATAAAATTGGACAAAACATCTATTCAGTGTTCACTGGATTTCCAATGACCTCTCAGACTGATGTTGGTTCTTAACAAGATCAACGAAGGGAGATGAATGGCGCTAACAAATGATTGATTGGCTAACATTTGAAAACGACAACAATAATACTAGTACATTAAAACAAGAAACCAATATATCTGTTCAATACCATTGATCAAATCACTAAATTGTACAGTCAAACAAAAGTGAACTGTTATTTTTGAAATAAAAACAGACAGAATATATAATGGAAATTAAAAATCACAAAAAAACACAAGGAGATAACTCACAAACCAGAAAAAATCAACAATGCAAAGAAATACTTGCATGATAAATACCTAATTTAAATAAGTTTAAAAAAATACGCATGACAACTTTGGAAAAGAGAAAGTAATTCAAGTACTCACCTAGCTGAGTCATTCCTGCGTTAGTATAATCCAGTGTTGTATGCACCACAGTGTGTACGTGTGTGTACGTGTGTGTGCGAGCGTGTGTGAGATGCAGGAAAGAAAGCAAAAAAAAACAGAAAGTATGAGTCAACAGGAATTTTTTTAAATGGTTCATTTATGAATAAATTAAAAGTTGTATCATATAACTAAATAAAGAATATAGTCACATATGAAGATGTACACCGAAATCGTTTATTTACTACCAGTGACGAATATCTGCAACTTTGGATGCCAGTATGTATGTGTATATAGCTAATTTTTCCAAAAAGACTCTATTTACAGTAGCGTGAAATTTGTATTTCCCTCCTATTTATGAAATCTGAACCTTATTGGTTGTTAATTGTTTCAACTGACCAATGAAGTTCGGGTGTTTCAAGGTCATTTAAAACTCAAATAAATGTTTGGAATTGCTGTCAAGCGTATTCATTGTTGATTTGAGATAGTAAAGTCTGTCTACGTCAACGCTCTGTCTTCTTTCTTCTTATCTTTCTTGCTTCGTGTGTTCAGGTAGTTGCTGATGAGAGTAGTGATTAGAACACAGGGCTCGTAAATCTACTATTTTGGAGGGAGGGTTAATTAGCTGAAATAAAAGACTCGTAAACAAACAGGTTGTATTGACGGTTATGTATACATACATATATACGATTGATCAAGAAGAGTTATTCGATGCAGTAGTGAAGGCGGGTTAAAACCTCGGTGGGTGCTTATGACTGAAACGTCCTAAACTAGGACGACACAGCTGTCAAGTATTTCAAGGTTTTCCACTGGTTTTCTAACTGATGTCAGCTCATGGAGAAATCTTCAAAGCAAATAAGTAAAACACGAAAGTTTACTATAAGTATTATCACCATCACGGTTATCATTTACAAGTAGTAGTGTAACGTGTGCTATTGAGGAAATTTAGGAATGGTAAACAGATAGAAATATAAATATGCCTATCATCTGCAAAAATATTGAGGAGCCGAGAGATGAACTGAATGCAGAAGAGAAGGAAGGATGGACGATTGTAAGACAACAATAATCCACCTCAAAGAACTTTGGTTGAGATGCACGTTGAATGGTAAGTTCACCTCCAAAAATGAGATTTTTAGACAGAGAGATGGGATTGCCATGGGATCATCAGTGGGTCCTTTGATGGCTGATAGCTTTATGGAGAAGCTTGAAAAATCTCAACTTAGTCAAAACATTGGCCATTTCGACACTTATAGGAAGTATGTAGAAGACGCTTCAGTCATCTACGATAAGGGCATAATTCGTGATGATGTCTTGTTTGCTTTCAGCAACCGCCATCCTTCTTTACAATTCATCGTAAAAAAGGAATTTGAACTGAGCATTCCATTTCTTGGTTTGTGCCACTTAAAAGATCCATCCACCGGATACGTACATAGGACGTACAACTAACGAAGGTTTATAGTTGGGTGACTATCTCCAGGAAACGGAACCTAATTAATTCACTCTGCTTGAGGATAAGAAACATTTGTTGTTCTGATTGGGTTGACTCACTACTTGACTTCCTAAAAGCCACGATCACAGAAAACGATTACCCGAACCGATTTATTGACAGAAACACGAAGGACAAGTAGTCCAAACTAGTCTCTGAATCACTATCAAAGAAAACCTTATTCATGAACTTGCAATTCAAAGATGATCAGGCTTCAGATATGCTCAAAATCATCTCTCTCAATCAGTCAGTCAGACTTTTTTGCAGCAGAATTACAAATGATATTCACTAGCCACAATTTGTTCTCCATCTCTCTGAAACATAAGCACCCCCCCCCCGTCTGGCCACATATATGAACATCTATCAGTTCACCTGTCACTCTTGTGGAGAAAGGTAAATTGGCCGTAGCCAGAAGACGCTTTCCACACGGATACGAGAACATATTCCACCTGCATGGTTTCACAAGGGAGCAAGGAAGTGTGTGAGAAGCTCTGTTCTAGAACACCTGATCGACTCCTGTCACTCTGACAACCCTGACCATGATTTTAAGATCATCTACAGAATCCATGCTAACTTGTACGCCGCGTTTTATTCATTATAGACTTCTAATGACAGTGGAGGCCTTGACCATTCATGACTCTTAGCCAGACCTTTGCGTAGAAAAGAAGTATGTACAATTCCTACTTCTGCCTTGGCCGTAGAGGGATAGACATTTATTTATTTTGTTTATTTAGCTAATCTATGTACCTTTCCCTTATTATTACAATTATTATTATTAATGTTATTATTACTATTCTCACTCTGAATTGTTTCCGCTTGTCCCACTTGTCACTCTAAATCGAAAATAACTTTTTTTTTACAATATTGAATTCCATATTACCAAATTTCACACCATATTATGTAACATTTTATATTCGCCTACTAATCCTATAATTATGCACCCTCTCCCAACAACATCTATACATCCATCCATCCATCTTATGTATTATTCTATATATGACATGGATTGTTTTGCTACTTGACATTTAACTATGATTATAATCACAAATATTTTAATCTTAATTGCATTTCATACTACTATTATTATTATTATTTCATGTATCCACACTTTTGCTCTTATTTCATCACCGGATATAATTTCTTAAAAACCATATGTGTATATACGATTGTACAGCTTGATAATAAATTCGTTGTTGAGATGAGTCTCCTCTCTGAATATTTTATTCTTATTGCTACAGTGGGTATTATTAAATTATAATATAGAAAAGATGAAAGGAAGACAAATAAGCATACTGCGGAAGACACGTGCAAATTGTGATTTCAGTATTCTATGACATATACAACGAGTCACGAATAAATTCTTCCGTTACACAATACTCTTGTGTTCTACGGTTACAGATGTAAAAGAATTACTTGCAACAGGCTCAAAAAGACAAAAGCAACGTTTCGAGTTTACCCAGTGATTGATATGAGTTAGAGAGGCATTGAAAATTAGTCACAGGAAGTACTGAACACAGGTGTTTCGTCCTAGTTTGGGATTCTTCATCTCTACGCGCTAATAATAGTACCGATAGAGGTCAAACCTAGGACTTTCAGATTACGAGGCAAGCCCATGAATACTCAACCAGTCTCCAGTAATAGTATTTACTCTATTTTACTTATTTGATGACAGCTGGCAATGAAATAAAAAATAAGCAATTCGTCCAACTTGGAACTTATCAACTGGATATTCCTGTATCCACAGTGATTGATGATATTCCCCGTGACACTTGCACTCCTAAAATCTTATTTTTCACTAGGCAATACACTATATGTAAGTGTTTTGATGTTAGCAGCTAATTGGACAGCATTTAGCAATGGACATAATGAAGCTATGTAACATATCAATTCCTATGCGTTGTAAAAGTGGATGAGCTATTAGCTCATTGACTTAGTGGATAACGTATCCGTGTTTAAAACCATGTGTTTCCCAGTCGGAACATCATCACTCTCTTAGGAGTAGATTCGCCAAATTGATGAGTCCCAAATAGGATGAAACGCTTATCATGGATTCCAATGATAACCAACGTCAAACAAGTAATACTGATCGATTAATTACGATAATATTTAGTCATCTGTTCAAGGAACCCATATGAGGAAATTAGGCCGACCAGTCGGGTTTCGAAACACCAACAGGGAATCACAAGTATAATTATATAATTTCCAGTAATACTCCCTTTAAAGTTTTCATTAAAAATTGTGCATATTATTATTCACTCATATTACTGTCCAACTTATTTGAGAAATGCATTTAATCAGTTGCATTTCAGTTATTCAGATAGCCGACTCTAAAGCTCTGCTGCATGTTAGTAGAGATTAGACGGGAAGATATATATTGGATACAATTAAATAACTAACCTGACTTTTAATTATTAGTCAGACTTTGTCAGTCCTATCCGTAATGCCCATCAATAACTCAGTGCTTCATTCACTCATTTTCGATCCAGAGGAACTATCAAATAATTTTAAATACACTTTCGCCCTCCAAATAATTAATTCATCAGAGTAATCCATCTTACTTGAGTTAATCATGAAGTACTGATATACTGAAGAGGTTATAAAAGACGATATCGAAGCCCTAACCTTATCAAGTATTTCGTATCAATAAGGTTATTTACGATAACAACAAGGTGATTATTTCAACGGAGATTTCCTGAAGAGAATGTTTCAGTTGGAGAAATATTGAAAAAGAAGACCGTGACGAATAGCTATTGCATCCTAGTTCACGACTTATCAGCAGTGTGCGCATTCATAAATCCCACCCGTATCCAGAATGAGGATATTAAATCGATGATCTAAATATGTTAACGATTTTACTGATCCTCTAAATGATTTGTCTGTCTGTATGTTTTCAACATAGAACTTTGCACTGATGTGCAGCAATTCAATTTACCACACTCCCTCCATGCAACACACAGAGTAAGAAAAGAAATTAGAAGAAATGCATAAGAGAGACAAAAAAAATAGTAATAACGAAGAACAAAATAATTTCATTGGGTATTATAAGTCACAAAGTGTGTATGCATCTGCACTAGCCATTTAGAACGATTTTGAGACAGCCATATCACCGACTGTTTCCAGCCATTGGTTTCTGCTGTCCTGAGGACCTCAACCAAAAAGTCTACACCTTCCTACGTGACTGGCTGGCTCAAACTAACTGTTGTGGATTTCACTGACTGAAAAAGCCATGCTTTGGTTTGACCACTGAGTGCTAGCTCTTTTCCAACCCGACGGACCTTATGTCAGTCAAGTACCATCACCCATTGTCAAGAGAGACGATGGCTAGGAATGCATGCGTAACACATGTCCTTACCATCTTAGTCGATGTAGCTTCACAGCCTATAAATGGTGACAGTTTGTGACGTAATCTCCACTGAAATTTATCGAAATCTGTGGTTCATTATTTGCTATATGATGGAAATCATAAAGCTCTAGAGACAGTATAGTCGAGGTTCACTGGAGGGGGGGCGGACAGAAGCGAATTCTTATTGAT